ACTTTGAATATACGACATCTACTTAACGCGTAATGACAAAGCCGTCAAAAAGAAGTCATAATGACATATTTATAGACAGGTCTCAGAAAAGACGTCTTTTAGCTTTGATCTAGACGTCTTTAAATGCGTATTTTAGACTATTTATTACGCGTCTTTTAAACGTATTTTTAAACTTTAAAAAGACGCAATTTAAACGTCATGTTAAAATCGCATTTATTAAAGACGTCTAGAAGATGTCTTAAAAAAAGATATCTTCTTGACGTTTTTTTAACGCTTAAATAGACGCCTTTTAAACGTCATTTTAAAAACGTCTTAATAAAAGACGTCTAGAAGATGTCTTAAAAATTGACGTCTTCTAGACGTCTTTTTATCTTTTAAAAAGACGCCTTTTAAACGTCATTTTAAAAACGCATTCATAAAAGACGTCTAAAAGATGTCTTTAAAACGTCAATAAAAGTGCGTCTTTACCTAGACTAGTTTTAGACGTCTATAAGTGTCTAAAATGCGTCTTGTGCTTACTGGGATAGTATTACACCTATCTTGACAAAACTCTTTGAATATACTATCATGCAAGTATGTTTGGAAGAATCAGACAGCCACTCTCACCAACTTGGTTTCAAGCAAATAGCTTCACCCTGCATGCAGAGTTCCTATTGAGTGAGACATTAAAACATTATAATAATAATAGTATATATCTGTAGTTAAGATGCAAATAAGGCTTTTGATAGCTGTAACTGAGATTTGTTAACTTTATTACAACAAAAACTTACCCTTATCAGTAGTTCGCGCACTACAATCATTATACCGTTCGGGTACAGCTAATATATCATACCTTGGAGATAAATCAAATAATTTCCGCTTGTCTCAAGGTGTGCGACAAGGATACATTTTATCGCCACATTTATACAACATTTATACTGAAAGTATATTAGGTAAAATTGTTTCCGATTGTAAAGTTGGAGCAACAGTAATGGGTTTATACACTGGTATTATTGCTTATGCAGATGATATAATCCTGCAAAGTCCTACTCTTTCTGGGCTTCAAGAGTTGATTAATAAAGTTTAAACGCAATGTCAAAACCTCTATATCAAATTAAACACAGAAAAAACCGAGTTCATTATCTCCGGTAAAAGTTTAGTTACAAAAAACATAATACAAATCAACGGTTTTTTCCTGAAACTCAATAATAAACTGAAACACCTCGGATTCTTATGGGAAAATTAAAGCCATGGAAAAAATATAGCTACAATCCAATCAGCAAATGTAAACGAAAGAATTATTCAATTTCAATCAATCCAGAGCTCTTATCTGCATTCCTACTTTAAAATCGATGAGGTATCTACCATCCTCGTTCAAAACAAATTGATCAGCATTAAAATTTCTCTTTAGTATTTCAAAATACAGCAAAAACTATCTGCATTCCTACTTTAAAATCGATGACGTATTTACCATCCTCGTTCAAAACAAATTGAATCTGTTTATCAGATTACTGAGCAATCCGACTTTCCTTGATTTTAACTCAAATATCTAATGTTAATAAGGAAAACTGCTTTATTTACGAAATAAAGAAAATTTGCAACCGCCTGGAACGAAGCTTCATGCAGTGTTTGATTAAGGGGGAAAAAATAATTATCAAACGTCGAAACGATGAAGTAGAAGATAATAAAGAAAAAATTTTAAACTAGTCCTTCGAGTTCTGGAACATCAGAGAGCAGAGAATGATATTCAAAAATTTAATGGAAGAAAGCATTCCAAAAAGAATCTAAATTAGAATTTTAACTTAGAGTATAAACTGTTAGTTTTATGACCTCTGTATTTTTTACCTGTAATTTTGGGTGATGAAAAGAATAAATAAATAAAATAAATAATATTGTTTTTTTATTATATTTAATATATAATACTAGGTAAAGAAAATAGAATTATATGAAAATTTAACTCCGAATAATATTGAATGCAACGTTTTGCCAATTAAAGTTTTACGTTAAATCAACGTAAATACAACGTTGAGCCAATTTAAAATACAACGTTGGACGAACGTAGTAAATACAACCGTTTTCCGACTTTAAATAAACGTCGGTTTTAAGTTGATGGCGACGTCGCATTTTTAACCATAATGATATAAAAATAACATTGGCAGCCGATGTTGGGCCAACGAAACGCGCGGCATTGTTCTGATGGTTTAACAACTTATGTGTGCTAGCTGGGTACCCCTAAAAGCTAAATTTTTTAAAAATTATGACATCAAGAATGCATTATAAAATTACTTTCCATTGCTTTAGTTAATCTCTAACTTGTTTTCTAATTGATGATCAATGGACTTTTGACTTTTCAATTGAATCGTATCTGTTTTCTATTCGAGATAACAGTTACAATCAATATCTTTGTTAATGACTTTTAATGTAATCACCAATTTCTATGCGTCCTCCATTCTCCAACCTCCATTTGAAGACAACAAATTGGTTTGAACCCCGGGGCTGGCTAAACTAGGCGATCCAAAAAGTGAAACAAAAGAGTGATGCCACAGCCTTACTTCAAACGAGCCAATCTCTTCTAACTTTTTTTCCGTTTCTTTGTTCCTCTATAAAGATTTAAGTGGGAATTTTGATTTTTTTGATCTATTGGAAAATTTTTAGGATTTGAAGAAGGTCCCATCAAAATTATAGTCGTTCAATAAGTGTCTAAAAATAATTTTCAGAGTGCAGGATTTTTAGAGGTTGATCCAGACGGTATAGAATGATTGCTTTTATACATTTGTTGGTCATTGAGACAACCAAATACAAAATCCAAATGATTTTTTTTAAAGGTGATGACGTTTTTTAAGAGTCATCGATGTCATCAGCAAGAAAAAGTTTATCGAAAAAATAATCTGACAACTCATTAGAGTTATTGATACCAATTTCTCTATCATAGAACTATAAAGAAAATTAAGATAAATTGTAAATTGGTAAATTGAGTTATTTTAATTATTCTATCATGGGTGTCACAAGATTTAAAAATAATTTAACTAGGGTAACGAGGGGCAAAATGAGACACTTAAGCATTAACTTATCTAATCCAGGCCTTCTAAGAACTTTCAAAAAAGATTTTGATATTTTTCAAATCTTTTACTATCCTACTATAACCTTACAAAATAGAAGTTGAAAATTGCAGTAGTTCGGCCATCAGAGATCATTTATTGACAACACCTATACTGTCTCATTTTGCCACGCTTTGTAGAGCAAAATGATCTCTGATCTCTGATAACTTTTGTTATTAAGAAATTCAAATAAATAATGATAAACAAAACAGATTTTTTAGAGTTTTAGCAAGATAAACATTTTAAAATATAATACAGCTAATAATTTATACATAATTTATACATAATTTATAATCAAACAAATAAAATACATAATCAAACGATCACTAGTCAATCATGTAATCAAACACACTGTCACGATTCACATAAATCACATAATGCTTCACCATTATTTTGAAATTAACAACAGTCGAAATGAGCTTAAGTTGTAGATTCTAAACATTCAATTTACTTTGATATTTTTGCAGCCATACTCTATAATCCATTACAAAAATAACATTCCCATTTTTTAACACTTAAACTTTCAACACTTTCTTTACGCTTTCCAAATGCACATTTATTTTCTGTTTTTTGTTTTTGTACGTTTTTTGATTGTTCAGAGGATTCAAATAGTGACATATATAAATTATTTATATATTTATGTTAGCTGTATATGGTAATATATATATTTATGTTTATATAAATATATATATTATATCTATATAAAAATATTTTGTATATATATTTAAAAAAATAGAATTTAATGAAAATTTAATTCCGAATAATACTGTATACAACGTTTGGCCAATTAAAGTTCAACGTTGAATCAATATAAATACAATGTTGTGCCAACTTAAAGTACAACGTTGGGCCACCGTATAAAATAAAACGTCGAATCAACGTAGAAAATATTACCATTTTCCGTCTTTAAATAAACGTTTTATCAACATTTGTAACCATAATGATATAAAAACAACGTTGGCAGCCGATGTTGAGCCAACGAAACGCGCGACATTGTTCTAATGTTTTAACAACGTATGTGTGCTAGCTGGGTAGGAATGTCACCAAAATTATTTGAATTCTATTTTGGTGAAATCTGTCATAAATATAGCACAAGATTCTCAGTAAACAACTTTGCTGTCCAAAGATATAGACTAAAATTAAGTATCAATTAAATTGAGTTCATACTCAATTAAGTATTGTGGGCCATATTTATGGAATTTATTTCCAGATATTACAAATAAAAAGAAAACCACGCTTGATCGATTTATATCACGATTTTATAAAAATGGGCTCGGTGATAAGACAGAATTATGTCTTCTTCTCAGTGGCGGAACTTCAAAATTTGGGCCCCCCCGCAAAAGAATGTTTTTTTTGCGGAAAAGAGTTTTATAGTATAAATATTATTGAGAGTATAACTTTTTTTATATGAGGGCCCCCTATAGCTGGTAGGCCCCCCCCCCCGCAACGCAGGGTCCTGCGTCCAGTAGTTCCGCCACTGCTTCTTCTTGCTCCAGCCATTACTTATTTTGTATTATATATATGAAAATTGTACTTATTGTAAATATATTATATATTATATATATATATATATATATATATATATATATATATATATATATATATATATATATATATATATATATATATTAAAAATTGTTAGTTTTTGTTTTTTCATTGTCAATTTCAACCTTACTTAACAAAGTTGGAATTAACAATTAATTTGTAAACAAGCAATTTTAAAAATTATGAAATTAATAATGTAAGATTAATTATAAAACATAAATAGCACAAAAAACATATATTTATCAATATAAACAACAACAACAACTGGAAAACGATTAAACAATTCAAAATCGAAAGTTAAATTCTCACAACATTAAAAAATGGAGATATAACCCTATTTATTCTAACGTCACGATAGAACAAATAAATCTTTTCAAGTTTGCTATTAAATATTTATAAATGTTAACTTCGTGTTAAAAAACTATATTTTACTATATCGAATAATGTCATAATACATTTCTGTTTTATTTATACAGTTTAAAATATATTACAGTCAACACTTGCTTATATAAACAGAATCTTTGATCTCTTGACGTTATATTTTGTTAAACATTATATATAGTTCTGTAGGTTGCGATTTTTGAACCGAATAAATTTGAGTTAGAATCCTAAAAGGCTAATTAGTAATGCAAAAAATGTCAATCAGTTTTTATTTAGGCTCTAAATAAGATTATGGTTTCTAGGAAGTAGGTAGCAACGACTTTGACTTTAAGAAATATAATAAAACTCAATCTTTATTGGAATGTAATGAAGTAAACTACTTCCTAACATGTTTTTCAAAGAAAAAACATCTGTAGCATACCAAGAGGTTTTATGTTTAGGACTGGGAACTGGACTCTTTGCTCTCATTCTGATTTTTACTGGTCTTTTTTTCTGTTAATGATTTTAACTCGTGTTCTTCTAATCTTATTCCATATTTCAAAATATCCATTATAAATTGGAATAAACTGTCCCATGCACTCTCTGTTAATAGATCTAAGTCTTTAAATGTTTCGCATAAACCAAATTGTAGACACGTTGCAAGAGCCTACGTGTTAAAAACATTTTCATTAAATTTGTTTAAAAAAATCAGCTCAAAAAAAAAAAATATATATATATATATATATATATATATCATACCGTACAATGCGTGTGTTGAGCCCCCAGGCTGAAGTGCGATCTTCCTACTGTCAATAGTATATCCATCAATTCTTTTCTTTTATCTACTTTACAAATAACAGCATCAACAACAGACTGCAACTTTTTTGCATGGAAACCAAGTTCTTTAGATGCAAGTGCCTCCTCTAATGTGGGGTATTGTGAAAAACTTTTAAAAATCTGTCTTAACTCCGGATACGTCGTAAACCATCTGAAAAAAAAATCACAAAAAAGTTAAAAAAAAAAACTTTATCGAGCAAGTCAAAAAACAATATGCAACTATAACTGTGTTAATGAGTGGGTATTGTAAAATTGCAAGCAGTTTCAACCAATCATTTGAATTGTTGTACTTAGTACAAAAAATTGTCAATTTTTTGACGTAAATTTTTTGGAAAAAAGATTGTAGTATAGCTTTTTAGACAGATAAAAAAAAAGAGTTCACTAATTGCCAGCCGAGAACCAGGAGGCCGTATGTCTATTTACTGTGTTTTTGAGTAAATTAAGTATGAGGTTTTAATTTTTTTTTAGAAAATTGAGTTTTACATTATTTATATATTTCCTAAAGTTCTTTTTTTTTTAAGACCAGATTTAGTGGACATCAATTCAAAATTAAATAAAATATGTTATACTAAATTTTATTCTACTTGCTATCAACATACGTCACAACTTGCTATCAACATACGTCACAACTTTTTGTTATTATGCTTTAACTCTTTATATATATTGCAAAATGTTTTTTAGTTGATGTTTTGCAAAAAAAGTTTTTTGGGTTTGTATTTTTATTTTTGAGAAAAAGAAAAAAAAAGGAACACATTGTAAAGACAATATACAGTTATAAAACAAATAAAGCAATAGTTTTCTCAGCTAGTAATTTTATTTTCGATGATTATTTTCGAGTGGTGATTTATTTTGACGGTTATTTGCGTAGAAATTTATATCTCTTAGTACTTCATTTCTTAATCGTAATCTTGACTTAAATGTAACGGTTTTAACCACTGAACAGTCATGCCGAAAGCCAAAAGATTTCAAAAGTGTAATGTGATTTCAAAAGAACAGTCATACATCATCATGCATCACTAAACAGAAAGACATCAAAACAACAACAACAAACAACAACAACAACAACAACAGTAACAATATTTTTCGTGTTACAGATGTTTCAAAAACACAGGTCATTGCAAAAAGAGATTCACTAATAAAGCGCAATGATCTTAATAAAGAATAATAATAATAATGATAATAATATGTAATAAGTAAAACCAGATAAAAAAAGTAGGTTAAATAAAGAAGTTAAGTTAAATAATATACATAATATTAACTAATAAAAGTAAAATTGCATAAAAATTTATTTAATTATACCAAGAAATCAGACTTTTTGAATATATATAACATAATTAATATAATGTACATTTATATATGGACATATACTTAAGCAAAAGTTATAATAAAATAAGTAAGTTATAATAAAAAATAATTATTTAAAATAAAATATTAGAAATAAAATTGTAATAAAATAATACATAAATAAACTATAGAAATAATAATAATAAAAAAAGTAAGCCTAAAGGTAGAAAGTAAGAAGGTAAAAAGTAAATTTAAACGTAACCTTTTAGGTAGAAATGATGGAGTGACTTTAAGAACAGATTCTTGAACCTAAGGATGAGACCTGGTTTTAGGGTGTTCGGAAGGAAGTTGTAAGAAAGGGGACACTGGTATAATTAATTTTATGTTTACTTGTCTGCTTTAGTGCGATAGTTAAGTTGTTATAAGTGACTAATCTTAGGTTATGCCCAGATGTTGTTCTATTATTAAAGTAGTTGTGAAATATAGTAAGAAGGACACCATGTTGTTGATCCCAGACAAACAAACAATTTAAGAACTGAATTAAATCATAGAAGCAAAGAATTTTAGATGTAAGATAAGAATGTCAGTAGGAAAATTTATTGGACAAAAATGAATAATCCGTACCGCTCTATTTTGAAGTGAAACAACTCTAGAGAGACATACAGATTTAGATTGTCCCCCAAACTTGACATGCGTATCGTAAATATAAACCAAAAATTGATTGATATATAGAGAGCAATTTTTCAAAGTTAAGGTAATGTCGAACTTTAGATAACATGCCGTTGTAAGGTCGGATATGTGTGTTTTGAATGAAAGTTTTTTATTCAAAACACACATATCCCACATATTTTTTCAACACAACACCAAGATAATGTTGATGATACAGTTTTTGACCACTTAATCGAAGTTTAAGTATTTTGGAATATTCTTCTTAGTTTTTTTAGAAAAGTTAGTATTTCGCCACTTAAATATAATTATTTCTAATTTCTTAGTATTCACAGTGACGTAGCTAGCAAGGGCTCACGCGGTGAGCCCTAGGTAGGTAGCTAGGTAGCTACAAAAGAAAAGAAAAATAGCAAGAAAACTGCGTCAATCGCTTTAAAATAATGGTAGGCCCGACCTTTATATAATAAACCTTTAAATAGTCTCTATTTTGTTTTATTAGCTAAACCTACAGCAAGTATTTAATTGTAATTTATGTTACACCGGAGCCATCAAGCTCAGGGGGCCCTCAAATCCTTACCAGAAATCTGTGTAAGAAAATTGCGTCAATCGCTTTAAAATAATGGTAGGCCCAATTTATATAATAAATCTTTGAATCTTTTCTATTTTGTTTTATTAGCTAAACCTACACCAAATATTAATTGTGATTTATGTTATTACTGTTTAATATTTTTATTACCTGCCCTGCAGTGTACAAAAAAGAGGTTAAGTAGCTTAGCATTTTTAAAGTATTTGTATATTTCATATTTTTATTTGATTAAACCTAATCAGTTTACATAGCAGTGGGGCCCCATTGTTTAATTTGCCCCAGGGCCCTTGGTTACCTAGCTACGCCACTGAGTATTCAATGAGATTTTATTTGTTCTAAGTCATTGAACAAGACTGGCCATATCCTTAACTTTGAAAAATTGCTAAAAATAAGTCAATTGTAGATACTTATTGTGAATCGGAATAATTTGAGCAAGCTAAAGGCATCAGGAAATGTTCCTTTGTGAAATGTATAGTTTAAATTGATATTAATTGGTTTACATAGAGTTCCTGACACCAGTTCAAAAAGTTTTGTTGGAAGACTGTTTAGTAAAGAAGATATTAAAATAGTTTGACAATGGTTTTAGGATTGGTTTTGCATTTGTTGTTAATGAGTATGCTTGTTAGGGAATTATTATTTCGTTTAATTTTCAAAAGTAAAAAACTTAGAATTATCAAAAGTAGAAGAATCATCTTATCAGATCAAAATTATTACTTTGTTAAAAAAAAAAAAACTGAACCGGTGGAACCAAGAAGCCCTCATGGTGGACTACAGAATCAGAATAAAGTTGACATAGACAGTCAAAAATTGAAAATACAGAATAACAGGATGCAAAAAATGGCAAATTTCTAACGGAAATTCTTGTTAGAAAACAACAACAAGATATTTATTCTTCTTTTTTTTTTTTATTTTTATTTAGTAAGAATATTGAAATTCTTGTTTCAAGTAAAAGTTTACTTAAAAGAAGAATTTAAGCAAATTTTCTATCAGCTCATTATATTAAAATCAACTAAATATTAAAGAACTGTAAGATGAAATTTTGATAGATGAGCTTACTAAAACAATATTTGTGTGCATGTAAGTTTTTCTTATTTTTATAATGTTGTGTAATTGTAAACTGCCTTTTAAATTAAAATTATTTTTTTTTTTAAAAAAACCGAAAGACTATGTAAAATATTTTTAAAAAAGGAATATTTTGAGCAGGTTATTAGAATATTAGAAAAGATTTTGACTTTTAGAAACAAAAAGCAGGTTTATGTGCAAAATAATCAAAGCTGGTGAATCAATAATAAAAATATTGGTTTACCGGCTACCGATAACCTGGAAAAATGGTAACTACATAGAAAACGAATTTATTATATTTCAATGACAAAATTTATTTGATTTATATATATATAAATCAAATAAATTTTGTCATTGAAATATAATAAAACAAAACAAGTGTCATTAAAAACCGTGTTTATACAGATTTTAATGCTACTTGTTTTGGTTTTGTAATTTGATATAAATTGTAGTTAAAAATTGTAAATAGGGAGTTAAATTTAGAGGAGACAAAAGACGTAGTGTTTTATTTTTGTATTTTTTGCAAGAATGGTATTATATATATATATATATATATATATATATATATATATATATATATATATATATATATATATATATATATATATATATATATATATATATATATATATATATATATATATATATATATATATATATATATATATATGTATATATATATATATATATATATATATATATATATATATATATATATATATATATATATATATATATATATATATCTATATATATATATATATATATATATATATATATATATATATATATATATATATATATAGCCCCCCAACTACCCAACTAAAACACTGAAGGAACGGACACTGCATTTAGCCCCTCCCCCCCCCCCCCCCAGAACAGTTTCTGAAAAAAACCCAGAACTGTTCTGAAAAACTGTTCTGAACAGTTTTTCATAACAGTTTTAAAAAAGCTTTTATGATAGCATCAGCGGAATTATCACTTTCCAAATATAACAATTTGAAATAAATATTAAAATAAAAAGTTAATAAATTTGTTATCCGATCACGTGACCGGGGCAAGATGACTTATTATGCAATTTTCCCCTCCAATTTTATAGAATTTTAAAAACTACCAAAAAATCTAACTAAAGTAACACAAAATAAACACAAATCGCAAAAACTACTTTTAAATAAGTTAAACTTGAAGGGCACTATCTATTATGAGAAACCGAAAGTAAGGAATTTTTTTTTAAGCGCAAAAAGTAAACTTATGCGTATAAAATTGCGTTGATAATATTTCAAAAAATTAATTGGTGTTTTAAATTACAAGATGCAAACACAGTTTCGTTTTCAACCAATTTTAAGATTTTTTGTTGAATTGTTATATGAAAACCCATCTTGCCATCTTGCATTTTAGTGCATTTACTTTAAATAACCTAAGTCTTAGATGATATAGTTATATATAGTAAATGCACTAAAATAAATGTAATATTGTTATTTGTAATAAATATAAAAAACGTTTTAAATTTCTCACTCTAATTATAATTTTGTGTGTTAAAAAGTTGGTCCTAT